CTCATCATCAAAGCTGCGAGCTCCATTTACCAAACGCTGTGTTTAAAAATTAAACCCGCTTTAACACATCAAAGCTAATTCTACAAAGCTATTTGTTCAATTATTAAGAGGCTCCGCTCGCCGTCTGAAGCTTCCCGCTCCAGCGGGGGGAAGCAGTTCGTGAGCGCCGATAGCAAACAGACGGGCGCCGACTCGTGAGGAGGTTAGACTGTAAACACAACGGGACAAAACAAGAGTTTAATCAAAGTCTCCTGAGTCTGTTTCAACTCGTTCAGTGTTTAATGTGTAGAATCATGAAATCAGTGTGACTGAGTACAGAATAACTTTATTATTATATATATTAAAACTCCAAACCAAAACACTGGACCTTTAATACGCTAAAATACCAAAATCACTCTCGCACCACGAATGAAGGCGTCAACCAATCACATTGTACGGACCCGTGTCTCATGAACTGCCATCACACCGTTAATAAAACTCCTTTCCTGAGGTTTATTGGACCTTTTTTTTTCAGTATTGTTTACATGAAAATATTAATAAAATGTAAATTTACGTGTCTGACGTAAAATAATCATAAATTACTATTTGAAGATATTTTCTGTTTATTTAACAGATTAAAACTGTTCATATATTTTTCTTAAGTATTTTTTGGGCCCCGAATTCAGCAAAAATGACAAAAAGTTATTTTTATAAAAGTTACCGACTGCAGCTTTAAGATCAGAACTCACTTTCTGCTTTAGCGCAGTATCGGAGCCGACAGCCGGTTCTGGTGTCGCTGTCGGTGCCTCCCTCTGCTGAGGGGACAGACTGAGACATTTACTGGGCTGCGGACCTCCACCGTGAGCGCCCCGACGGGGGAGTCAGGTGACCAGAAGCTCTCAGTGATGTCGCTGATGAAGGAACTGGAGGATATGTTCGGGCCCAGTGAGCTCGGTGGACTGAACTGTGACTGTAAGCGGTTAATCATCCCTGGAGCTCCAGTTGACCCCGCCGTCACCTTCCAGCTCTGCCTTTTCCCCGGGCTGATTTCCCATCATGCAGTCTGCCCCCACCCCCCATGTGAAACCGCTAAGCTGAATAAACTGACTGGGTCGACCCCCTGGAGACACGAGGCCAACTCTCCCATCTGAGGCTATTTAAAGCCCCCGCTGATCGGGCAGAACACACTCAGCTGACAGAGCTTCGGTAGCTCGTAGCGCCCTGAGACCGGTTCAGGTTCTGGATCTGGACTCACGGGACGGTTCTGTTCATAATCAGGAGAAGAGTTTGTTTTGTTTACGTCTTTTAACCTGGCTGCTCCAGATGGTTTGTTACACAGAACCATGTGTGAAACTGTTTAAAACAAACCACGGTTCTGTGTAACAAACCATCTGCCGCAGTCCGCTTACTGCTGGTCGGTGTCTCGCTTTCTCCGGCCCTCCAGGAAGTTGCTGCGATCGCAACGATTGAAGTAAATTCAACCGAACTACTAAAGATTTTATTCTCACTGGAACCGGTTTTTAATCAGGATGTTTTATATTATATAATAAATATAATAAATATAAAGTCCTTATGTGTCACTTCCTTTTCCTGAATCCAGTCTGACTTTCTCTCTTTTTAATATTCTGTTATGATTAATAATGTAATTATTCTGTGTTTCTGTGTGCAGCCTAAATAACAGGAGGTTTATTTAATTTGATTTACATTATAAGAAATGAATTATTGGCTGTAACTCGGGTCACTATAATACGGTTATAATTCATTCACTCTGCTGAGTGAATGATGTGGGAAATGTCGTCCTCGCTGTCGGTTCATGTTTGTGTTTCCATTTGGGAAGTGAAATCACATGAAGGACCCCCCCCACCACCACGCTGTGGGAGGCAGCAGATCCGTCAGCTGACTGAGGGGATTTATAGCGGGGGGGGGGGTTAAATCTGCAGGTTGTAAAGGGTCATTAGGAGAAAGGCTTCAGAGGAAGACGCATCCTGGGTAAAATCCTGATTAGGACGCTCGGGTATCATCACCCTGAGAGGCTCTTATAAAATATAAATATATATATAAAATATATATATATATTTTATATATATAAATTAATTAAAAAGATAAAAAATACAAACATTGAGAAACCAGCAACTAATGAGGAAAACATCTCTGCTTCCAACGCAGCAAGAATGTTTCTCATTATTTTGAGATATTAAGTCATTATTTTTAGTAATTATTATAATTATTAGTATTAATTGTTTGCAGTACCTGCAGTACCAGCAGTGACCACTACCTCCAGAGCGCTGCTCGTGGTCGTTCACACTGCAAACCTTCGTGAACTGTATAATACTTGTCTGAATTAGAGGAGGAGACGTTTGAACTCCTGCTGTGTTTATAAAGAACAGCGTCCAGCCTGCAGCGCTCTGTGTTTTGCGATAATGTTACCAGCACAAAACTGAACCTCTGCTCCGATCTACCATCAGTCCGGCTGGATCGACGCGTATATATTAGCTATAATATGAATCCAGCACCAACGTTTTATTCCAATTTAACCATCTTCAAAATATCAGCACTTAGATTAGCTTAGCTAACCTGTTTGAGTGGCTATATCTACGTACAGGATTATTTTTAACCATCTTCAAAATATCAGCATAGATTAGCTTAGCACGTAGCATATCTACGTACAGGAACGCAGGGGGCGGGGCTTAAAATGAAAAATTAAACAAACACAACAAAGTTTGTTTTGAGTAAACAAAGATAAAAATGACTTGAAGAGAAATAAATTCGTAAAAGAAACATCGTTAATAACAAACTATATATTCATTATATTCTTATTATTATCATTATTATATAAATTATAGATTGAGATAATAAATAATTGTCGCACAAGAATCAAAGTTCAACTGAACAAAATAAACAAATTAATTTAAATGTTTTTTGGCACTTCTGGGACTCCGTAGTAATTCTAGCAGAGTGCTACACAAAGATAAATGAATCCAGTATATAAATATATATTCGGAGGCAGCACTCGCTCTGAGAGGAGAGTTCACAGTTTGCTTGGTAACAGGATCTGAATTCTGTGATTGGCTGTCGGCTCTGTGATGTCACCGGCGGTCGGTGGTGGAATGCATCAGGAGGTTTTTGGAGCCGCCATCGAGCAGACAGACAGGCAGGCAGACAGACAGACAGGCAGACAGACAGACAGACAGACAGACAGACAGGCAGGCAGGCAGGCAGGCAGGCAGACAGACAGACAGACAGGCAGGCAGGCAGGCAGACAGACAGACAGACAGACAGGCAGACAGACAGACAGACAGACAGACAGGCAGGCAGGCAGGCAGGCAGACAGACAGACAGACAGACAGACAGAACAGACAGACAGACAGACCTGACAGACAGACTGACTGACTGACTGACAACAGACAGACAGACAGACAGACAGACAGACTGACTGACTGACTAACTGACTACTGACAGACTGACTGACTGCAGACAGACAGACAGACAGACTGACTGACTGACTGCAGACAGACAGACAGACAGACAGACAGACAGACAGACTGACTGAGTGTGCAGGAAGAAACTGCCTGAACACACTTGTTGCTTTCGGCCTGCAGAGTTTGATTTTACTCTGCGTTTCACTTTCTGCAATAAACGTTATTTCGTTACGAGCTCGCGATGGAGACGATGCACAAACGTAAAAACTAATAAAATGTGAAAACATCCAAAATCAAACACTTGTTGAGCTGATAAATGAGTCTCTGTGCAGGCGGTCAGAGAGGAGGAGAGAGGAGGAAGAGCGCTCACTCTGCCTCAAATTCCAGAAACCACATAGCAGATACCAATAAAGTGTGTGACCTCTGCGCTGTGTGTGACCTCTGCGCTGTGTGTGACCTCTGCGCTGTGTGTGACCTCTGCAGCGTGTGTCCTAGAGCTGGTCGGGTTGGTGGCAACAGCAGGTTTATTTCACGTCTGCAGAATGTGACAAACAATAAAAGAGTTGTTAAAGAAAAAAACTGGCAGCTGTTTGAGAAGAAGTTTGATTTCACAGTTTAAGTTGAGTTTTTACTGTTTTTAGCATTAAAACAAACAGTTTTTGCCACATGGGAATACAATATGAGTGCTGTATGAAGAAAATAAATATAATGGTGGTTTTATGTGCAGTTTACATAAAAAAGTCCTTTAAATGCTGCATAAATAAAGGTTTGCATTGAGATATGAGAGTCTCTACAACAATAATAAAGTACAATACACTGACACAGTGTTTGTACAGTGGGTTTAAATCAATGTAAATTAAATATCACAAACTGTCCCTTAATTTATCCAAAATACACAAACAAATATGTGTTAATACTGATTGTTACACTGGACTGTTTCCTTTATTTTATGTAACTTTAATTACAAGATATAAAATACCTCAACTTCACGATATTATCACGTACTGTAAAATATCTGCTCTTATGACAAAGGACGTAACTGTATGTTAATGTGAGCTCGCTGTACTGGAGAGATTGTTTAACGGTTAACTTCATAAAAACTATTTAATCTACGACAAATAATTGTATTAACTGTCTAAATAATCGAATTAATTAAATTAACAAGCTCTCAGTATTTCTAAAAGGAAATTAAAACTGTTTTTAATCTTTTACTTTGGTTAACTTTAGAACTGTTTGTTTTTTTCAAATCAACATTTATTTTATTTTATTTACGATATCTTACATTTTATTATGTTATTGGATTTTTAGCTTTGCACAGTTTGTTTTGTTTCTTTGTTGTTGTGTTTGGATTTGTTGTTTATTTATTTATTGTTGTGTTGTTGTTGTTGTTGTTGTTGTTGTTGTTGTTGTTTAGATACACGTTGGGCTGCATGTTTCTTTATAAATAAAACAGAGTGAATGAGTTTTGAGTTTTTGTGACTTCCGGAACCTCGCTGTGTTTCTGACGCGGAGTGACGCCTCCTCCTCGGACTCACGCGATCTTCGGCCGTTTAAAGAGAGCGAGACTGTTGAGCATGCGCCCGAGGGGTCGTCGAAGAATCCAGTAAATAGAACCCCGGAGCGCGAGCGGAGTGTCGGCGCTGACGTCACGGCCCTACAGTGAGAGCTCGAGCTGAATTGTAAGCGCGAGCTTCAGACGGAGGCGCGCGAGGAACCGGACACAACGACGATGAGCTGCAGTCGGTATCACTCCGCTGCTTTCTGACGGGAAATAAACCGCGTTTCTCTCCGACCGTCGGTGGGTTTTCTTCCTCCAGCGGCGCGAACACACCGACCGACATTTTGGGGAGTGTTTCTTCCACCATGTCCTCCGCGGCGGCCTCCAGAAGGCAGTCCTGCTATCTGTGCGACCTGCCGCGCATGCCGTGGGCGATGATCTGGGATTTTACCGAGCCCGTGTGCCGCGGATGTGTCAACTACGAGGGCGCCGACCGGATCGAGTTCGTTATAGACACCGCCCGGCAGCTGAAGAGGGCGCACGGCTTCCAGGATGGCCGCTCTCCGGGCCCGGGGAAGCCCCAGCAGCACCCCGGGAAGGAGCTCAACCACTCGGCTGGAGACTCCCGTCCGCCGCAGCCGTTGGACCGCTACCCGCTGTCCGACCGCCCGCCGCGGCTCGGACCGGAGTACCAAGCGGGGCGGCAGGCGAACGGCCTCCCGATGCCGAACGGATTCCCAAAACCGGACGAGCCTCCGGAGCTCAACCGTCAGAGCCCGAACCCGCGCAGGACCAGCGCGGTTCCGCCCAGCCTGGTGCCGCTGGTGAACGGCGGCATCCCCATCGGGCACCCGCTCAACGGCCGCCCGGCGCAGATGGGGCTGCCCGGGGTGCTCAGCGTGTCGGGCCCCGGGGAGCACGGTAAGCGACCGGAGGAGCTGAAAGACAAACACAGGCCGGACAGCCTGTCGGAGCTACCGGACAGCCACAAGGACTGGATCGGTAAAGGGAAGACGGTGCGGGATCTGGTGGCGCTGCACACCTTCGACGGCAGGTACAAGAAGGAGCACGCGGCCATGCAGAGGGTGATGGGATACGATAGTGCCACTTCCTCAAAGACAGGTAGGTGTGTGTGTGCGTGCGTGCGTGCGTGTGTGCGCGTGTGTGCGTGTGTGCGTGTGTGTGTGTGTGTGTGTGTGTGTGTGTGCAGGGACACAACCGGGCACTCAAAACAGGAAATAATGTGTCAGCGGATTTTATACACACAATGTGTTTAATCCTGCACAATAATATATTTATATTATATTACATTCTTATTAAATCTATATTTATTATATTTATATAATCTTCATATTTATATTATATTCATATTTATATTATATTTGTATTATATTTATATTCCGATCCAGAAGCTGTGAAGCTAACAGTCGACCGTTACGATCTGTGTTTGTTATAAATGTTCCTTACAGAGAATTAACTCACGATGTTTGTGCGATATCGTGCGGCTGCAGTTCGTAACGCCACGGCGCCGTAACGCACCCGTTCACCACGCTGCACGCAGACATAAACAAAGCTTTATTCATGGTTGAGCAGCTTCCTGTGCGAGCAGTGTGCTGTAGTGTTTGTGTGGTCGTGTTAAGCCTCTTCCTCTTCCTCTTCCTCAGACAGGGGGAAGCACCCCCGCAGCATGAAGAGGAAGGCGTCCCCGGAGCCGGACGGCGAGGGCAGCGCCCCCAAGATGAACGGCGGCGAGGGCCAGCCGTGGCTCCCCTCGCCCTCCGAGGTCCTGAAGATGCCCCCGGCCTCCTTGCCCGGCTTCTCCTCCGCCCCCCCGTCCACCATCTCCCCCCACTCCCGCACCACGCCCCCCGAGGCCGCTACGGCGCAGAACGGCCAGTCCCCGATGGCGGCTCTCATCCTCGCCACCGACAACGCCGGCAGCACGGGCTCACCTAAGGACAGCAACCAGGTACACTCCACCACGGCGGGCGTGCGGCGGAACAGCGGCAGCCCCCTGTCGCCGTCCTCGGCCTCCCAGAGGAGGTTGACCCAGAGGGAGGGGCCAGTGAGCGCCAACCCTTCCGCTCTACACGCGCCCGGCGGCATGGACCCCCACGCGCCGCCGCCACAGAGCATTCCAGACTCTTCGGTGCCGCCCGGCAGCGTGCCGCTGTGCTGCACTCTGTGCCACGAGCGGCTGGAGGACACTCACTTCGTCCAGTGCCCGTCGGTGCCGTCGCACAAGTTCTGCTTCCCCTGCTCCCGGGACAGCATCAAGCAGCAGGGCGCCACCGGCGAGGTGTACTGTCCCAGCGGCGAGCGGTGCCCGCTGGTGGGCTCCAACGTGCCCTGGGCCTTCATGCAGGGGGAAATAGCCACCATCTTGGCCGGGGACATAAAGGTAAAAAAGGAGCGGGACCCTTAAAGTGTTTCTACGGCAACAACAGCAGGACATAAAGGACGTGTACATATCGGACACGAGGGACGTGGACACTTCGTAAAAACATGGCTGTATAATTTTTCTTTTTGATTTTTCTTTTTCAATACATTGTGTTTCTATGATTTAAAGAAGGTATGTATCCTCATAACGGACTCCTCGCCGTCTCGCAGTCTGCCGCTGTACTTTAGGTCGGAGACGTCAAACATAGAATGTGACTAATCTGAGCACTTGGCAAAAAAACAATAAAAAAAAACCCAACAGAGTAAGAAATGCTTCTAGCTGTACATGTATGCACTTGTTTAAAGAAAAGCTGCCAAATACAGTTTGAGACGTTGTAATAATCGCTGCAGTGTCTCTGTCTGTTTCCACTCGGGGCCGGGAGCTCATTGTGAGTCAGCCATGATGCAATCGCCTCCAGCAGGAACGAACCGGCTTCCAGGGAAGAGTGGGTGGAGGGAAAAGTCAAGGAGATAGAAGAGGAGGAGGAGGAAGAGGAGGAGGAGGAGGAGTGGGTTGCATAAACGTTTCTGTACAGTAAATCACACGTAGGCGGAGCCTGAGGCCGCTCGCCGTCGAGCCTCGTGTCTCCTGCGAGTGTTGGGAGATAACGAGGCTAAATATAGCTCGCCGTGGAGACGTCTGTTGAAGTGGCTCCTCACGTGGCGTTCTGTTTATCTGTGTTTCCCCCCCCCCCGGTGCTGACTAACGCTGGCAGCAGATCGGGGTCGAACCGGCGTCCTGATTCTAGTGAAATCACATTGTGAGGTCACCCGCCCCCCCCACCCCCCTGTGTGCCTGTGGAGCCAACCGGTTTTTCCACATGGCGGCGACGCCTCTGGGCCCTGGTGGCGGTGTTGTTGCCCCCCCACCGCCCCCCGGGGATCGAATCCAAAGCGGCTTCCTGCAACAAAGCGGCCTCGTCAGCAGACAAAATGGCCGCCGTAGGAGAGGATTTAAAGTGTAATCTCGCCGTCGACGTTCAGTTTGTGTTTAACGTGTTATTCTACGCAGGACGTCTGATTACTGGACGTCACATTCGGCCTTCAGGAGGAGCCGTACAGCAAGCCCCCCCCCGGCTGAGAGCAGGAGGATAGAAATGCCTTGCTCAGGGGTCACGTGCTCCTCAGTGGAATTCCTGAGTCACCGTCCTCCCTCCCTCCCTCCCTCCCTCCTCCCCCCTCTGCTGCAATAACACGCCTTCCACTGTTCAAGGTTGATCACACAGCGAGCGGATGAATGGGGGCCTGTGTGTTTATGCCGGGGCCCCCGCCGCTTTCAGCCGCCATTCAGAGCGAGGAGCGAGCGTTAACCCCTTCCTGCCACCCTCGGCTCCTGGAGCGGCCCCCTCGCTCTTCATCACGTCTACAACAGTTGCTGTAAACTGAATTTCTTCGGATTAAAAACATTTTGAAGACGTGAAAAGAATTTTAAAGCTGAAAGTTGCGTCAACAAGTTACAGGAAGATAAATATTCAGCCGCTCCAGGGTTTCACAGGGTTGATACTGCTGAAAATATCTGACTGTTATAAAAATGCTTCCTGTTTCCATCATTATAAACTTAAACTTTGGGTTTCAAACGAGCATTTTGAAGATATACGACAGGAGTTTTACACCATAATCTGACGTTTTATGGCCGAAACAGCTTCTTAAAAACACTAGTGAGATAAACAAACATAAAAATATATAAAGAGGTTTGACAATTTGTAGTTTTTTAGGATTTTATAACAACTTTTCTAATAAACTGCCCTTTTTAGGCATCAGTAAGTAAAACTAGTGGATTTGCTGTTTTCCTCCGTTTTATATCCTCATAAACTCAATATTGTGAAATGAGTTTTACACCATTATAACCAAAACTTACCTGATAAACTTCCAGGCAGATAAACAGTCACAGCAGCTTTTAAATGTGATTATTATAATTTCTTTGTTACGATTGAATAAAATCCGTTTGGAGGGTAAATGTGAGACGTGACGGTCGAGTCGCAGAATTAACGAGGGTTTGTTTAATTGGCGTTAAATGTCGTGATCGTAACTTCCTGGAGGCGCTGAGGAAATAAAGGTTAAAGCTTTAAACAAATGATGGCAGCAGTTGTTGGTTTAATGGTTGAAAACAGACTTTAAATGTTCAACTTGCCCTCCGGAGCTTTTCCAGTGTTTGTCCAGTGAGATTAAATCAGTCAGCAGAGCAGTGGGTCAGCACTGGGAGCGTTACGTAACGGCTCTTTCCATTGATGAATTCCTCTTTCTGTTGTAATCAGCATCAACTGAAAGGTCTTTAAACTCTCTGTCTCACTTCATGAAACTTCCAGGCTCAACTGTTGGTTCCTTTATATTTTATATTTATATATATATTATATATGTTATATGTGTCTTCATAGATGTCTGGAGGGAATCTTTAAGTTTATTTAACACCAATAATCATTAAAAACACTTTTTACAGTGAATTAAATACAGCTATTGATGGGCAAAGGTACTTTTAGCTCCTGTTATAATGTAGATTAACCCAGGTTATTGTATCATGCTAACAGACTGAAGCTAAGCTAACAGGTCCCAGGTTATTGTATCATGCTAACAGACTGAAGCTAAGCTAACAGGTCCCAGGTTACAATGTGAGCCGAGCTGCTGCTAACGTTAGCTCAGCTTGTTTCTCTGATAACTTAAGATCCAGACGTCCGATGACTAAAATCCTTCATCCGGTTCAAATCTAGAGTTAAAAAGCACCAAGATCTAAACAGTGGATGGTAACAATGTGGCTTCAGACTGGATCAACAGTCAATGTATGACAGCTTCTGGCAGACAACCACAACGCTGACGCAGGCACAAAGGGGATATGACGCCATCGACAGGCGACCGGTGAAACGCAGCGTTACCTGAATAAAATGACAGATATTCTCTGAGTTTGAACTTTGTTGGAAACATTTGGGACAATGTAAATATCCAGAACATAGTTTGGTATTTGTTGTGTGGTTCTTGTATTTCGGGGACCACGGGGGCCCCTGAAGGGGTACGAGAGGGCCCCCCCCCCGTAAAGCACGAGTTACTTCAGTTTCGGCTCCATTGAGAAGAATCTCCTCACATTCCTTCAAACGAACAACAAAAACACTCCGATGGGTTAAAACTTCGGTCTGCTGCTCCTTTTGATGTCTGCCAGCCAATCAGACGGCCAATCTCTAAACCAGATCCAGACCTCCGCCCCCCCTCCCCCCCTCCCCCTCGCTCTCGCTCAGGCCGGTTTGGCGTGAGGTCGGCCTCAGATTCCAGCCGAGACAGCTCATTTCTTTTCATCTGTCACCGAAACTCAACACCCAGCGGGCCCGAAGAGCCAGTGGCCCGAGATAAATGGGTTTGCTCAAATTACGTGGCACACTCGGAGAGAGACTCCGGGTTTCTCCCCCTTCCTCCCCTCTCTCTCTCTCTCTCTCTCTCTCTCTCTCTCTCTCTCTCTCTCTCTCTCTCTCTCTCTCTCTGTATCCTCTCTCTGTTTGTTCAGCTGTCCCTCCTCCTCCTCCTCCTCCTCCTCCTCCTCCTCCTCTTCCTCCTCTCCGGACTCTGAAGTGCAGGATGAGGCCGGAGGAAACACGTCTCGAACCCGTTGGCGAGCAGGAACAACAGACCTCAGCTGTTCGCCGCCACGCTGAGAGCGCCGACGTTTACTAAAGAACGAGTTGCTTTAAATTCACCTTCCTCGCCCCGTTCCCACGGTAACCATGTTGAACAACTCGTACCTGGAGGCCGAGCCGGCAGCGTCTGTGATCGTGTTTGAAAAGTGTACAAATAAAAATAAAAGCTGGTGTAACAGTCGCCGTGGAAACATCGTCCTCTTTATTTCACTCCGCCAGCGGCCATCTTGGGGAGACGCCGCTACGCTGAAATGTATAAAATATTAAAGGCGCAGGCGGCGAGGAACGGGCCGCCGCACTCCGCCCCCGTGAGCATGTGTTCAGGGCGGGAAGCTAATGCTAACTGTTAGCGTCCCTCTAGCTGCCCCGTTCGGTTGCATGCTAACAGTAGCTACATTAGCCGTTAGCCCCCCCCCCCCATGCTGTGCTGACTTCAGAGTTTATGGTGAGTTTATGTTTACCATGTGGTCGGGGGGGGGGGTCATTGCGTACAGCCTCTGTTCATCTGGAGTCCAAACGCTGTTCAAAAGGTCAGCGCCCCCCCCCCCCCCACATGAAAGACGACCCCGACTCAGGCAGAACATGCTGCAGTCACACAATAACCCCCCCCCGCCACATCAGCACTTTCACAAATCTGCCCTGGGGCTTTAAAGACCCCCCCTTGCACACACAGAACCCGCCGACCGACCCCCCCACCCAGACCCAGTGTGTGCTCTGTCAATATAAACACTGTTTATTCTTCTAGTGACATCGCACACACACACACACATATATATTTATAAATATATTTTAAATATTCAAACTGCACAAAAACAGCTCAATAAACAGACACTGGATCATTATAATGGTAATAAAACTTTATTGCCCCTGTGGGGCAGTTAGAGTCACTGCAACAGTTAAAGTTCAAACTATAATCTGAATATAATATAATATATAATCTGTATATAATATAATATATAATCTGAATATAATATATAATCTGAATATAATATAATATATAATCTGAATATAATATAATATATAATCTGTATATAATATAATCTGAATATAATTACTGTATATAATATAATATATAATGTGTATATAATATAATATATAATCTGAATATAATATAATCTGAATATAATATAATATATAATCTGTATATAATATATAATCTGAATATAATATATAATCTGTACATAATATAATATATAATCTGAATATTATATAATATATAATCTGTATATAATATAATATATAATGTGAATATAATATATTATATATTATATATTAAAACGTCTGCAAACACCAGAGATATGCTCTATATGTCTGTTAGCATTATAACCTGGGACACTTTGTTGGATTTCTGATCAGAACATCAGAAAACAAAAGTAAAGTAACTGTTTATTATTACTGATAATTATTAGTAATGAATAAATTACTGGATAAATTAGTGAGCACAGTGTCCAGATATAGTCAGATAAAGTAATCCCTGTCCTGCCAGCAGTCAGTGAAAGGTGTTGGGCAGCGGGGGGTGGTGTGGGGGGGGCAGTGGAGGGTCAAACCCAGCAGCTGCACTCTCTATAATTAGCCGTGGAGGCGGGCAGAGGCTGCTGTGCCATTAATCAGCGAACTCCCGGCAGCGAGCACCAAGAAAGGAACGCGCTGCCTGTTGACTCTTTATCTGGAAAACAGGTTTACGGAGCCAAGGCCCAAATATAGCAACCGGCGCCCGGAGCCGCGGC